GTCTAATTAGATTCTCAATGTGATCATTGTTCCAGAAGAATAGAACTCTTTCTGCCACCTGAAAAAAGAAAAAAATAATAATAATTAAGTAAACTCCCTGATTTGAATTTGAAAATGTCGGGGTGATTAAATGATTTGTTAAAAATCTTGAAAGAGCCTTGATACACCCCATTTGAAGAAGGAAATACCAAATCTACCCTTCAACATGATATCATCAATCAAAAAGCTTTGATCTTTTCTAAAAAACTTAGTTCATGGAATGGTTTTCAAAGGAATGGAATCTATTAGAGGAATCGGAATACGAAGGAATCATAATCTGTTAAGACATTTGGTTGAAAAAGTTGACATGAAATGGAATGGAATGAGCCATTCCATTCCATTCCATTCATTTCACGATTTCATTATAACAAACACTACCTAAGTCATACAAAACCAATACACTACTACACATTTGAAAGAAAAAAAACAAGAAATAATCAAAAGAATGATAAATTAATTACCTGAAAATGCAAACTATTCAAGCAACGAGCAATCTGTTTAAACAAAAGCACCATACACCGATGAAATTCAGGTTGTTGTGTAGCTTCAAGAACCTCTTCCAATTCACCTAAAAACATAATCTCCTTTGAACTATTTGTAACAGGCCAATATTTCAACAAACCCCTTATCACCATATCAGCCAATTTACAATCTTTCTCAACAATTTGAGTAATACAATATGATAATTGTTGATGATACATCGCCAAACATTTCGGTTTATGCAATGGAATCAAAGCCCTTGAAAGAAACAACTTATGTTCTTCCTTCAATGGCAACACATAACATATACAATTCAGCATGTTGGGTCCACAATCTCCCGGTTGGATTACCCTGGCTCACAACCTCTTGGTTGGATTGCCATGCATATCACATACTGGTCTACAACCTCCCGGTTAGATTACCCTAGCCCACAACCTCCCGGTTGGAATACCATGCCCACAACCTCCCGATTGGAATACCCTGGCACACAACCTCCCGGTTGGATTGCCCCGGTCTGTTAACTAACGACACAAAGCAGTAGTCTCAACACCAACATAACATGCCGAAATATAACAGATAACAAACATATTCAGCAGACAGATAATCATACAGCCAGTAATCATAGGTAGTCCTACAAATCTACCAGTCTAACGCCTATCAGCAGCTATCATATAACCATACAGATCTAACGCATACTCAACATATCATCAATCTATATATAACAGGATATCAATCCAATGGGTCGGCCTTGGTGCCTTCGACCCGCAAGTACAGTGAGGAAAACTCACCTCATAGTCCGACAAATAGCAAAAAAGTACACAACATCGAGTACAACTCCAACACCGACTCTACCAATCACCTAAACGAAACAAGTGACCTAAGCTTAGTTAATAACCCCAAAAGACCTAAAATACCCAAACTATCCTCAGGTCAGCCTTGGTCAAACCCCATGTCAAAGGTCAACGTCAACAAACTAGCTGAGTCAACTCAACTGAGTACCCTAGGTGTACTCAGCTATACGCGGGGCGTATTCAGCTTGACCAGGAAGTCGGGTTTTTGACCGTGTACGCGCAACGTACCATTTGGTATGCCCAGCGCACGTACCTGGCCGCCTCAACTTCTTATTAATAGCTTAATACATCAAGTCTATGTCCAAATCCAGATCTAAGCCCAAAAAATCATTATATGTCATAAAGTTTCCAACTTTATGACTTTACATGGCTAGAAGTGCTTAATACCAACAAACCCTAACTTCTTAATCCATTAGGACATCCTAGCACATTCATGGGGAAGGAATCAAGAACCAAGATCGTATTTTTATGCTTCAAGACATCTCAAATTTTCTGAAAGGAGGACTTATTCGGGATAGAGTATGCCATACTCATAAATGTCAAGATTTGGGACCAAAATGCTTCAAGACTCAAGAGCTAACAAGATATAAAGAAATGAAAGAAAAGTTCAAAACTTTATACCTTCTGGAGGTTGCTAGATAGATGAGGATTCCAGATCCAAAGCTACTTCAAGCTTCCAAGGTGATTCCACTTCCTTCATTCTCCTTCAAGGTCACCAAAATGCACACCAAAGGTCACGAATGCTCAAACAAGGAACTAGGGTTTGCTAAGGTCGAGTGAAGTGATGGAGGTTGATGAGAGAAAAGACTTGGAGGCCATAAAGATGTTTAAATAGGGTCCAAACCCTAAAAATTAGGGTTTGGGATCCTACCACGTACCCCAATGTACGATATGAGTACGCCCAGCATACATGCCCCACACCCATTATTTACAAAAATGCCACTATGGGCCATTTTGCAACACTTCTCCTACACAAGGGATAAAATGAAATAATCTTCATACTTAGGGTTAAATTTTGAAAATACCTCAACATCAGGATGTTACATATGTGGTATCAGAGCTACAAGTTCCTGCAGAGCTAAAAAGGTAATGTCGGGTCTTGTTGATTTCAGTTGCTGATCAGAGCCTAATTTCCTGTTGAGTTTTAGTGTTGCTGATTTCGTGTTATGTTCCTGTTCAGACGTTTCTATTAAAAAAATGTTATGTAAGTTATATATTGAAGAAGACGAAGAACTGGGGTTGGAAGATACTATTGCAACTGAAGAAGTTTGTGAAGGCGAAGAAGAGAAGGAGGAAAATTATGAAGCGCCAAATTGAAGCAAGACTTTGGTTCTTAGAGCATTGAAAACACAGGTGGTGCATGCTGATTACGATCAAAGAGATTAAATTTTTCATACAAAGTGTCGTGTGAATGATCGATGGTGCAGTTTGATTATCGATGGTGGTAGTTCTACGAATGTTGCTTCGAGTGAGATGGTTACGAAGTTGGGCTTAGTCATAACAACCCATCCTAATCCATATGGACTTCATTAGTTGGAAGATGAAAACGAAGTGAAAGTAACAAAACGGGTTAGGGTTTGTTTATCTATGGGATCAAATGAAAATGAAGTTTTGTTTGATGTTATTCCCATGGATGTTTGTCATATTCTGTTGGGACGTCCATGGCAATTTGACAGGGATGTGATACATAGAGGAAGAAGCAATGATTACGAGTTGAGGCACAATGGTAAGAAATTTGTGTTGTCACCCATGTATTTAACAGAGGTACGATCGATGTACAAGCAGTCCAAAAATCCAAACCTTACTATGTTGGATAGTGAAAGAGAGGTGGAACAGGTTCTCAACCAAGGAGATGAGATTTTTGTCCTTGTTGCAAACGAATGCCCAAAGGTGGAGGAGATTGCGAAAGAAGAACTTATTGAAGAAGCTACTTTCGTGGTCGAAGAAGAAACTGTTGAAGCAATTGCGAAAGATGGGAAGAATGATAAATCAGATGAGGCAAATAAAGGTGGTATTAATATGGATCAAGAAGAACTCACTTCTGGGATTGGTTTGACATTTCTAAATGATTTGAATCGGGATAGAGGAGGAGTAGTTAAGGACACGAATCAAATCGAGAATAAAATGGGTTTATTGAAGGAGTCAGTTGATTTCCCCCGAAGTGCGTATTGGGTTGATGATGATCATTTGGAATTAAGGACAATTCCTTTTAGGGGGGATGATACGAATACGAAAGGAGAGTCTTCAATTTCCAAGTCGAGTGCCAATTGCGAACGGGTGCGACTGGGTGCGAACGGTCGCAAGGAGTCGCAGACGCTTATTATCGGCTGCAAATGTGATTCTTGCATTATTGTTAGATGCTAATGGATGTGATTGACTACGAACGATCGCAAGCCATCGTAGTCTCTAGTAAATGGGTGCAAATCTTGGAAGTTCCTAGGATGCGAACGAAGTTCTTTGGATGCGAACAAGGATGCGAACAACCTCGGAATGTGGTTGGTTACGATTGCGAACTTCGGAACGAGTTCAAATTGCGATTGCGATCCCGGAAGCCAGTTGCGAATGTCGGAAACCAGTTGCGAATCTCGGAGGCCAGCAGACTCACTTAAGATTGGTTGCGACCCTCGGATGCGAAAGTTACTTGTTGGGATCTATGGTGTGAAGGGTGTGCTAGATAACTTGCAACCGAAGATTCTAGATTTTGCTTTATTTTTTAGACGATTTTTAACTTTTATTTTTTTGCCTTATTTAGTTTTCAATAAGCCTTTAGAAGATAGTTTCCTTTTTATTTAGTAGTTTCCTTTTATTTATTAGTTTTTTTTTGTAATGGTTTTGTAAGGTTATAAATAGCCCTTGGTAGATCGTTTGTAAGATATGATAGATCGGAGAATTTTGAGAGAACTATTGTTATATTTTCTTGAGTTATTGGGTTTAATTCATATTGTGTCATTGTTTGAGACGCGTTTCTCATTCGTGATTCAATTTCAAGTCAATAGGTTTTAGCTTGTCATCAAATATCATTTGACGGATGCTTTCCTGATCTTGATACAAGTCAAGTTAATAGGTCTTAACTTGTTTTCGTCTGATATTCAATCCATTGGTCTAAATTGTCTATCAAATCTATCAATTTTTCTTGTTTTCTTGTCAAGTAAGTTATTGTTTCCATTGCATTCATATTACTTGAAAACAAAACCCCGCCCATATTTGCATCAAAAACCTACCATTTATTATATTTCAGTATCATTACAAAGCCATCAAAAGTTCACATTTTTTTTTCTACAGCTATTTTAGCATGTTATATCTGTTAAAATGGTCATAAGAGAATTTGTAAAAATGGTCATAAGAGAATTTGTAAAAATCAAATAGTTTTAGTGGAGTTTTCGTCTTTTGTTTTACCACCAAAAGTTTTGTAGTCATTTTGATATGCTATAATAGGTCAAAGAATGTTTAAATGGTCAACATAGAAAAATAACTTTGATGGTTTGAATTGACGAAACATAACTATAATAGTTAAACTACAAAATCGACAAAAATATAATAGGTTTTATGTAACTTGCCCTAAAAGCAATCTAATATTATCATTTATTCCAATTAACGAATGGAAATATATGAGCTAGAAACTCGCTCAAAATGCATTGCTTTTAGCTAGTTTATCGAACTAAATGTACCACATTATCCTCCTACAACAATAAAAAACAGCCCAAATTTACAAAACAACTTGTAGCTTTCCCAAAACAGGATTACAAAAGCTTGAATCTTTAGAATTCAACCCTAATTCACAAGAACAGCTTCATTACTTGAAGCTTTATCTGCACCAATTTCTTCTAATCGTTTCCACGTGGCTTCACGTCTAGATTTCATCTTATCTTCCTTTGCCTCTTCTTCTTGGAAATTGAGCAAACACTCATTGAAAAGTTCAGGGTCAAGGTCAAAGAAGATTTTCCTGACATTTAAAGTCAAACTATGAACAGCTTGATTCCAATGATATCTCCCATTTCTTTCAAGTGCTGGAAAGATTATGGGGAGGATTACTTTCCGATTTTGTCTGATTAGATTCTCAATGTGATCATTGTTCCAGAAGAATAGAACTCTTTCTGCCACCTGAAAAAAGAAAAAAAGAAATTAAGTAAACTCCCTGATTTGAATTTGAAAATGTTGGGGTGATTAAATGATTTGTTGAAAATCTTGAAAGAGCCTTGATACACGCATTTGAAGAAGGAAATACCAAATCTACCCTTCAACATGATATCATCAATCAAAAAGCTTCGATCTTTTCTCAAAAACGTAGTTCATGGAATGGTTTTGAAAGGAATGGAATCTATTAGAGGAATTGGAATATGAAGGAATCATAATCTGTTAATACATTTGGTTGAAAAGGTTGACATGAGATGGAATGGAATGAGCCATTCCTTTCCCGATTTCATTATACCAAAAACATGGTTCATGGAATGGATTTGAAGAGAACGGAAACTATTTAGAGGAAGTGGAATATGAAGTAATCATAATCTGTTAGCCATTTGGTTGAAAACTTGACATGAATTGGAATGGAATGAGACATTCCATTCCATTCCTTTCACGATTTCATTATAACAAACACCATCTAAGCCTTGCACAACCAATACACTACTACAACACATTTGAAGAAAAAAAAACAAGAAATAATCAAAAGAATGATAAATTAATTACCTGAAAATGCAAACTATTCAAGCAACGAGCAATTTGTTTAAACAAAAGCACCATACACCGATGAAATTCAGGTTGTTGTGTAGCTTCAAGAACCTCTTCCAATTCACCCAAAAACATAATCTCCTTTGAACTATTTGTAACAGGCCAATACTTCAACAAACCCCTTATCACCATATCAGCCAATTTACAATCTTTCTCAACAAATTGAGTAATACAATATGATAATTGTTGATGATACATGGCCAAACATTTCGGTTTATGCAATGGAATCAAAGCCCTTGAAAGAAACAACTTATGTTCTTCCTTCAATGGCAAAGCAAACCCATTGATAATACTCCCTAAAATCTCCAAAAGTTCTGCAATCCCATTATGCTTTTCGGTTTCTAACACAAATCTATAAAAGATATTGTTGATAGATTTCCTTATAAAAGGACGATGAACCATGAATTTACCATAAACCCTATGAAGAATTGTCTTTAAGTACTCACGTTCTCTTGGATCTTCAGAATCAAACATGTCTAACAATTTAAGAACAAAGTAGTGATCGATGTACTTTTTTGCAATTTTGGCATCGGCTTCTGGGGAGGCTATGAATCTTAGTAGAAGTTCATAAACGATTTGTAAATGAGGCCATGAGGGATCCATACATGGTTCTTCTTCTTCAAGATCGTATGATTCCAAGATTTTGCAATCACGGGGTTGTGGAGTGAGTTCACGAAATAAATTTGCAGATACCATTTTCACAAACTCTTGCATGACTGATTCTGTGAATTTAACGTTGCTAGACGCAACAAAATCGACTAATTCTAGTAAAGTTTGTCTTTTGATTTCTTTTTCTTTGAGGTTTTTTGTGGGGTCGGTGAAATCAAAGATTACAGAACACATGGCGACCTTTTTTATGAATAAATTCTGTTTTTCATTGCTTGAAACGTCTCTGAAACTTGGTAGAGCTTCGTAAGAAACACTTACAGGATTACCATTGCGGAAATTCTTCTCGCCTGGATTGAATCTGGAATCCAAAGGTGAGGAAATATCGGCGTTTACAAGCTTTCTTGAATTCCCGCTTCCTAAATCGCTTCTCTTTGAGCTAGAAGAGGTTGAATTTGGGGTTAGGTTGCTTAACGATTCTTGATTTTTGGACGATTTGGACTGTTTCCGGGAAACTTTACTGAGAATCTGCTTGAGCATATCTTAGATTGCGAAGAACGAAACAAGAATTTATCGAAACCCTAGAAACCCAACTCGAATTCTGATCAAAATCATCCGAAGTGGAAGTGATGAAGAAGGCTTTAAATGGAGGTTACAACAAACCCATCGTAAAAACTGTTCTAGAATCAGAACTAAAGCAAACCCCTTTCCAAACCCTATGATAAAATACACAAAACACAAAAAAAGATATCTGAACTATACATCAGAAACCCACTGATTTCAATCAAACCGAAACAAACTCCCCCAAAAACCATCAATGCCCCTTTCTTCAAAATTCCCCACATCAGTTTTCCCCTTTTTCTGTATGGATCAAACCCCTCGAGGAGGGAAAGATTCTGACTTTTGATTTAGAAAAAAAAGAAACCCCACTTGGAGTTTAACGATCTTGGGACTTGAAAGTAAAGATAACGCAAAAATCTCTCAAAATAACCTGGTCTTTTTTGAATAAAAATAGCTTTATTATCTCCTGTGAGCTGGACAGATGGATAAAAAGTAAGCTCACTACACCACAAGAATCCTGCTTTACTTTTTTCACACTTTCTTTTAACAAACCCTTGAAAGGGAATAACTAAAAAGAAAAAAAGGGAATCAAATTAGTGTAAAAAAGATTGATAATCAGATAATGAAGAACAAATCTGAAAAGAAAATTCAGGGAATTTGATCGAGAGAGAGAGAGAGAGAGAGAGAGAGAGAGAGAGACGCGTTTGGAAGAAGGAACTTGAAAACCCACCTAACAGGAGAGACCAAGCCGCCCTTCGAATGATTCTTTGCTTTGTTTCTTCTTTTTCTTTCTTCACATCACCATCCCATTTTTGCTTTGTTGTTTCTTGACTCCTATTTTACCTTTTCTAATATAACTAGTGGGGATTTCAATATGATGCAGGTATTAATCAGGTATCATTTAATAAATAGATTGATATAAAAAGTTGGTATAAATCAAAATAATAAATAAAAAGTTGGTATAAATCAAAATAATAAAAAAGAAAAAATTTATTATTATATAAGACTTTTTTTTTAATTTCTTATATATAGATATTATTATTGTAATTTTGTCATATATATATATATATATATAGGGTTGTTCACTATTTGGATTGGACTATGTGGTTCAGATATTCGGATTTTTGGATTGGATTTCACCAAAACCGAATTATTATTTTAGATTTCGGATTGGTTTTGGTTTATAAAATAAGAACCGAATAGTCCAAAAAAACCGAATAACGATTTATTATTTATTTATTTATAATATATCTATAATTATTTATTAATTTTATAAATTATTTTTTTTCAAAAAAGTTCAAAATGTTTCACCTAATAAAAAACTAATATGCATTTTCTCTCAAAAAGTGTTTTATCTATTAAATATTAAATTATAATATACATTCTTAGTAGTTGTTTGTAAATTATAAATTACAACTAATTTGCTTCTATAAAAATGGGATAATATTATAATTATATATCGTTTTGAAATGTTATGCCTTTTGAAAACCGAATTATAAAAACCGATCCAACCGAATTGTAATTGGATTGGATCGGATTGGATTTGAATTTAGTTTGAACAATTCGGATCCATATTTTGAAAACCGAAATCAATTTGGATTTACTTAATTGGATCGGATCGAACCGATCCATCCAAATGAACACCCCTACATATATATAAAGAGGATTTTTTGTAAAACATGTGGATCATTTATGTACATTTATGTCAAATAAAGATAAGTTTTATAATAATTAATTAATTTTGGGAGCATTATGTCTTACATAAAATTAAAAGGACCAAAAATATAACCAATCTAATCCAAAAGAAAAGAATTTAATATAGGGACCATTTAAAAAAAAGTAATTAGTTTAAGGACTATTTTGTCTAACTAGAAAAAATTAAAAGCACAAAAAATTAACTAATTTATTTTCAAAAAAACAATTACTATAACATGATATGACCTTCTAATTTTTTTATATAGCAACACACTTCACATAACTTTAAATTGTCAAATATTATAGGATAATCAAAATAAATTTAAAAGTAATTCTTTTAGTTTGATTTTCATAATGGTCCATGTCCTTGCATTAGTTTGGTTTATCTCGGACATAATGTTTTGTCTTTTGGTTGTTTTTTTTTTTTTGTTTTTTTTTGTTTTAAATAGAGATAAGTTTTATAATAATTAATTAATTTAGGGAGCATTATGTCTTACATAAAATTAAAAGGACCAAAAATATAACTAATATAATACAAAGGAAAATAATTTAATTTAGGGACCATTTAGAAAAAAGGTAATTTGTTTAAGGTCTATTTTGTCTAACTAAAAAAATTAAAAAGACTAAAAATGTAACTAATTTATTTTCAAAAACAATTACTATAATATGATATGACCTTCTACATAACCTTAAATTGTCAAATATTGTAGGATAATAATTAATTTAAAAATAATTCTTTGATTTTCATAAGCGATTACTTTTCATACTCCAAACTACTTCTTTATCCCCTAAATGATATTTTATCTTTTTGTTGTCTTTTCGCTTCTTTTTGTTTTTATTATTTTTTATTTTTTAATATTTTAATAGATACATATTATTATTATTATTATATATATTAAACTTATGAAGAAAAGGAATAGTAAACTTGTCATTTTTTTGGCAGAATTGGTCCCTATAAATAATAAATTTGGATGTTTTTTGGCAACTTTGCTCCTCATTCTTTAACCATTTTGACACTTTTGGTCCTTACAATCAACATTTTTACAAAGGAATAGTAAACTTGTCATTTTTTTGGCAGAATTGGTCCCTGTATTATTATTGGGCTTCAAAGTTAGGAATAATAAATTTGGATGTTTTTTGGCAACTTTGCTCCTCATTCTTTAACCATTTTGACACTTTTGGTCCTTACAATCAATATTTTTACACTTTTTAGGAACCTTTTAATATTTAAAGTCTGGCCATAAAACTTTAACGGTTTGACAACTTTGATCCCTTTTCTAAAAAGTTGCAAATTTCTACCCCTTTAATTCTTTAGTCATTTTGACACTTCTGGTCCTTGCAGTTAAAACTTTTACATTTATCCTGGATTTTTTTTTGGCAACTTTGCTCCTCATTCTTTAACCATTTTGACACTTTTGGTCCTTACAATCAATATTTTTACACTTTTTAGGAACCTTTTAATCTTTAAAGTTTGGCCACAAAACTTTAACGGTTTGACAACTTTGATCTATTTTCTAAAAAGTTGCTAATTCCTACCCCTTTAATTCTTTAGCCATTTTGACACTTCTGGTTCTTGCAGTCAAAACTTTTACATTTTTTCATAAAAACATGAAAAAAACGGTCCGGGGCAAAGTCCGGGCTTTTCATCATTGCACTTTCTACGTCTGTCATATTTATCGATTCGCAAACAACATTGAAAGCTTCTGGCCCCCGCGTAGCGGGGGTAACCTTTCTAGTTATTATTATCATTATTATTATTATTATTATTATTAACTGTTCGGATTATCCACATGTTATTGTTTTCGTTCTAACTAGCTTTATGTTGTTTTTTCGGTCGGATTATCTCATGTTATTTTTTCCATTCAGACTATCTATTTGTTACTTTTTTCGTATGGACTATTTTTGTGTTATTTTTTTGTTCCGACTATCTGTATGTTATTTTTCCGTATGGACAATTCACATGTTATTTTTTTCATTCAGGCTATCTTTATGTTATTTTTCGTTCCGACTGTCATTGTGTTAATTTTTGTTCCGACTATACTTGCGTTGTTTTTTTTTTCAGTCAGATTATCCTCATGTTATTTATTTCATTCGGACTATCTATGTGTTATTTTTTTCGTTTCGATTATCCCTGTTTTATTTTTCCATTTCGACTATTCATATGTTTTTTTTTTCAATCAAACTATCTTTGTGTTATTTTTTAGTTCTGACTATTATTGTGGTATTTTTATTCGGAATGAAAATACAGGGATAGACGATGAGAAAATAACATAGAGATAGTCCGAACAAAAAAATAACATAAGAATAATCCGACCGAAAAAAACAATACAAAGATAGTCTAAACGAAAAAATAACCCAATATAGTATGAACAGAAAAAATAACACATGGATAATCCGTACAAAAAAAATACTCCGAACGAAAATTTAACATATAGATAGTTCGAATGAAAAATAAAAATACAACTATATATAAAATAATGTTTTTCTAAAACACAAATAATTTAAAAAAAATGACATAATTAACCAAATAATAATAATAATAATAATAATAATAATAATAATAATAAATAATATAATCTAATAATAATAAAAAAATAAAATACAAAAAAACAAAATTGGTTAATTTAAATCAAATTGTTAAGGGTTTGTATTCAAGTCAAATTAAAAGGATATAGAAAGCAACATTTTTTCCTTAATTGTCCATGTTGTTGCCTTAATTATAGGATAATTCTTCTAATACCCCCAAATTGTTTGGTTTATCTCCGACATGATCTTTTTTCCATTTGTTTTATTTTATTTTTTGTTTTTTGTTATTTTTTGCTTTTTAATATTTTTAATAAATGCATATTATTATTGTTAACATTAAACAACAAAAGACAAAAAATAATAATAATAGTAATAATTATTGTATAAGTAATATAATAATAATAATAAACAATAAAATTCTATTTAATAAATTAAGAGTTTTTTTGTCACTTCTCACACTCTCATTCAACTTGTCAAATTTCATTTTGTGGTTATTTTGAATTAATTTTTTTTCTACATGTCATTTTATTAGTTTTTCTATTTTATTAAATTTCACATAATATTTTAATATAATAATTGCAATAAATGTAGTAATAAATGGATATTAATATCACTAATAAACTTACATTTTAATTTCAAAAATTCTCAAAATTAAAGTTCATTAGTATATTTTCTTTATTTAAATTATTTGTTTAAATTTAAAAGATAAAAAATATTTCCATTATAATAAATCATTATTTTTCTTATTTTCTTATAAATTCAAAATTCTTAAATATTTTGATTTTTATATTTAACTTTTTTTTTAATTAACTCATGTAATAATAGGTCTCACACTAATAAAAAATAAATAAATAAATAAATAAATAAGGCTACTACTAAGGTTGTACGGTATGGGCGCCTTCATTATGCCACATCAAAAGCAAGAAAGAAGGAAATAGCTTTGGGAAGGTGTTCCTCCATAAAAACGTCGTTAAGATGAAGAAAAAGCAGAGGAAGAAAGTGTGTTGTAACTAATAAGGTTCAAATATGCCGATCTAATATAAAATCAGAAATTAATCCATACTAAAACTCATAGTTTCGAACCTGGCCCAATGGCACGGAGAGTTTTTACTAGTTATATTATAATTCGACATTTTTGCGTTAGCTAATCTGAAAGTTATGTGATATTTTTATTGTTGGATATTTATTTAAAATATTTTAAAAACCATAATAGCGTTCTTATAAATTTTTTATAAGGTCTTTCCAAAAATTAAGCAATATTTAACACAACTATTCAATATTAAAATTCTTGTCAAACTACTTAAATAATATGTGAAATGGAGTTTTGTCGACTAAAGTTGATTTGTTGATACGTGGCTCACTTAGGTTTTTTTTAAATTATATTTTCAAGATATATTTTAAAAGTTATAAAAAAGAGTTTTATTAACCTATCAAATATCAACACCTCATCTCAAATAGTTATTTTATTATTATTATTTTTAAACCTAGCAAACACTAATTTGCACAAAACTAAAAAAGTAAAGGAGTAATATCACTAAAGTCTTATGTTTTTGGTATTAAATTGAAAAAATCCCTGAATTTTATTTTTCATTGATTGTGGACACGATATTTTCATGGAATTATGGCAAAAGGGCAAAGCGTCGGTTTCAGCAGGTTACAAAGCAAAGACGAACGTTGGAGGTCAGTTGTTAGCTAGGTTTTGTTCCATTCTTCTCTCCAACGTCAATCCTGCAAGATGGTAAGCTCCTCCAACACGCACACACAAGGGTATAGAGAATAGGTTTTAAGGAATCGTTGGTCTGAAGATTTGAGATGCGAGTGTGATGAACCTGCAACATTCTCGATCTCCAAAACGGTCGATAATCCATGGAGGAAATTCAGGGGGTGTCCAAACTATCAAGTAATATCAAGTTTCCTACTTCTTTTTGTGGTCTTGTTGAACCAGTATGAAGAAGTGGTTGTTGTGCATGACTCCAAAAAAAATGCGAATTTTTTTATGGTTTGATCCACCACTGCCAAAAACACCTACTACAAGGAAACTGTGTGGAAGTTCCATATGGATTTGGAGGAGGCTAAGAACAATAAAGCATTTGGAATGGAGATTTTGAAGCTTTCGGAGCAGGCCAAGAACAACAAAGCAGCTCAAGTGGATATTTTAAACCCGTTGAATGTGGTGCTACTTATGATGGTCATGCTTTTGGTGGTGGTGATTGTGATGGATTTTATGGTTCACAATGTTGTGGTTAAAACACTATGAAGTTGTGGGCATTAGTTAGGTTCAGGTGGAATGGTAGTAGAAGTTTAGGTGTAAAGGTATTTTGGTCAAGTTAGATAGTAAGTTGATGCATGTGTTATGTATGGTAATATTTTGGTGTTGTAAGAGATGACAATGATAACAACTTATTATGCAATACCTTTAACACATACATATGTATAAAAATGACCAAATCTTGAAAATTTAATAGCAACCTACTTAACAAACTAACCAGAACATGGAAGGTAACAATAATTATAATGATCAAGGCACATATATTGATAACTTAAACAATCATACCATGCAGTTTACAAAGCTTCCCAAATGTCATTGTCAGTTAACAGCCAAAAAGGGGAATGTATTTTACAAAGTTTCCCACAAACCACTACCATACCATGTAACCTAATTAGAACCAAACTTTCAATGCTACCAAACATTATGGACAAGAACTGGAAGCTTGTTACCAAAAGACTTAATGCCTTTAGTATATTGTTGCTAGCAACCTTTCACTTAGAAGCAATAATAGGAAGTCCTAGGCAGTCTTATCTTATCTTATGGGCAATGCCCCCTTTGCCGTAAAGAGTAGCCATATCCAGTGCGATCTCCCCATACTCAGGCGTCACCTCTAATCCCATTTCAAAACTCTACAACCGCTCCGGTCACACTTCACCTTAGATCTTTAACGGGTCTTTAGGCTAAGGATAGATTGCCTGATAGACGAATTCGTTGACCTCCAATGCTCTAATAATTTATCTTTCTCCCTGGGCTTCTTCGCTAACAACCAGTCCTGCAACCCGACTGGTTGGACAAGAAGAGCTTTATTTCCTAGTCCTTGATCCTAGTTACTAGCCTTCAAGGCCGACTGCAATTCAAGGTGGTACGAGCTAGTGCGAACTAACTACTTGAATCCACACATCAATTGTATTCCTTTCCTGACCTTCAATCAAAGGATTCCACCTGGCACTATGCCAACAAGTCCCACCCCAACTCTAGCTGGGAAGTTGAGACATCCTTCTTTTTTTTCAGAAAAATAATCGAATAAAGAAAGAGCTAGTCTATATCTTGTATCGATCATAGGATCACTTTATGAATAGGTAAATTCTATGTGACCTCCCACCGTTCACGACATCCCTTGCTTCTCGCTGCGAACGACTCCTCGGTAGAAGAGTAAAAGTGCTGCCCCGCTTCAGTCAAATTGCTTGTACCTGTTGTTACCTACCGTAGGACCTCCGTCCCCGAAGCGAAGAAAAAGGAGCAGGAACAAGAGGTTGTCCTCTCCCGGCCCAGTAGTTCCGCAACTACTACCGTGGTTGTTGCCAACAGGGATCCCCCATTCCGAAAGGTTACTAGGCCGGCCGTTAGGTTCAAAGGTGTATGCCACAGCTATGGTGTCGATAGATTCACTACTTCAGCGCCGTTATCGGACATTTCAGGCTGAGCATCTATTTCTCGTATATCACTCCACACCGAGAAGAGGGATGTGTACCTCCACCAACAATAAGATGGAACCATAGGCTTCTATGCTGGGAGCATTTCGGGGTCTAGGTCTAACCATCTCAACTCCCTCTTTCTGGCATGCTATAGTTAGTTAAGTCTCTCGACGCCGGGAATGGGAGATTACCAGTAATCCAGATGCTTCATGAACCATATTCTTAAGGCATTTCGTTGCACCTAAATCACCCTCTTGAATAGGCGCACTCCGATACCATTGATGTCCAATAGCTTTGATAGTAATGGTTGGATTTACTGCTACCTCGTCCATTGAGTAGAAGAGAGCAAATGATGGTATAGCAATGAACATCAGTATGATACTAGGAAATATGGTCCGAAGAATCTCGATAGTAGTTCCATGAACAATCCTTTGCGGGATTGGATTTTTTCTTTTTAGAAATGCCATAAAGCGCGAACCAAGATCCGTGAGACGAAAACCAAAATAAGAATGAGGAAGAAAAAGATATCGTGATGTAAGTCTATTATTCCTTGCATCATAGGTGTTATTGCGTCTTGAGATCCTAATTGCCATGGTTCCGCTACATCACAAGGAGCAATTATGAGAAATTGCCATTCTAGAACAATCATTTGATATGTTTCATTCTTTGACTGCTTTGCTCCCCCAAAAAAATGGAGAGACTTGTTCTTGCTCTTCCAATTAAGGAAGACGGATTTCACCGGTTGGTCCAACCAAGAAAGACATGGGAATTTTGGGTGTCAGGTTCTTCTTCTTCTCATACTTACTATATTTCGAGTTGGACGAACAGATCGCTCCTAAAAGCAAGCAGCTGTGTGATCTTATATACGATACCACCAGACGCGCCCCAGTTTCAAGCGAGCTCACCCTAAGGACCTTGCTGAACTAGATTCTCTGCTAGCGAGAGCGGATTAGAAAGATAAAGGAGCACAAACAAGGGTTGTTTGAAAATGAACAGATAAGCTAACGCTAGGAAGGATTCCTCAATTGCTAGTAGAAGGATAGAGACTAAAGTATCAGACCCCCAAACCAAAACGGCAGAAACGTTCGGGGGCGGAGGACGTCATATACAGTATCAAAACAATTGTAAAATAGGAATCAAAGCAAACACAACCATTACATTGATAAGGTAAAGTATTTACATCTATTCAATACATAGTTTGTATGACATCAAAATGTATAGAAAAAGTATTAAAAGACGGGACTCTAAAAGCTCCGTCTTCTCAAAATCTGCGAGTGTACCTGTCTTATCGGTTCCCTAAGAATACAAGTGATTTTGAAAGTGTATCAAAATTTAAGTTGGTGAGTTCATAAGTATGTATTAATGAAGGAAAACTTCTCTTTGTACTATGAAAATGTTAGTATGTTTCTCCAGAAAATCCAATATTTTCTATAGTGAATGTAATGTAGTCATGTATGTTCCTTAAAAATGTATACTGTAGTGGTGTACTTAGCACTAGAAAATAGTGTATTGTAACTGTATTTGTACGTAAAACCCTTGTATAAATGTTTGGATGCCAC